AGGTGCCACGCTAGTAGTAACAAGTGCCTTACTAGTAGTAACAAGAACGCAGGACCCGCCAGGGAAGGCAAATGGGTGCTGTTTCTTCGGTGTCTAAGTCTTCCGGTGCCTGTTCTTCGGTCTAAGTCTTCCGGACTTGGGGGACCGACATAGCTAGCTCCATGGTCCAGGTATGTGTTCTCTTTGACCTGCGGAGTTCGTGAAACTTGCATGTGTCTTGGCTGGTTCTTCCTTGACGGTTTGGTTCACCAAAAAGGTTGGAGTTTTCTTTGCGCAGCCCTGGTTGAATTGACCAATTAATCAACATGAGTCAGTCCTGTGCTTGTTCGGCTTCCAAGGAGAACATATGCTCCCGAGCTGCACCGACCCCCAACACAGGTGAAGGGACAGTCAGGAAGGGCTCGCTTTGTAGGAGCTCAAAGCAGTTACTCCTGGAAGATTGGAAGGTGTTAACCTCAATAACGATGGCCTTCAACCTAGTGATGGCCTCCCTGTACCTGAAGAGGGCTGTGAGATTCATCCAAGGCATTGGTCAAATTTCCACTTCTTCTTGAGTCGCCCATTCGTCCCGGCATCGGAATCGCTCCGCCGGCAGGAATTGGTGGAAAACGCCCAGGACCGGCGGTTTCAGCCCCGCACAGATGACACAGATGCGCGACACTTCGCATTGTGGGACAACCAACCTAATAGCAAAGGCTTCCAACCTACTAGTGCCACGCTAGTAGTAACAGGTGCCTTACTAGTACGTAGTAACAAAGAAGCTATTAGAAACAAGTGCCTTACTACAAGTAACAATAAGAATATAATTAGAATTCTAATTAATAGCTTCTTGTTACTACTAGTAAGGCACTTGTAATTACTAGCAAAGGAATCTACTAGGACCTTTTCGCGGGGGGGGTAGGAAGCTACTAGTAAGGCACCTGTTCCTAGTAGCGTGGCACTTTTTTCTAATAGCGTCTTGTTACTAATAGCAAAGGCCTCCAACCATATCATATCCCACATGTCACGTGTGCTTGGAACTTGCAACAAATCAGCTGTTGTGCTGGGGCAATGGTTTAGTGTGTTGGATGGTGAATGCTTTCCTTTTCGGCTTTCCTTTGAGCGGATGGTCAATCACCGCTCCTTCGGCGCACAGGATCTGAGTGAAGCCCTCGAGATGAAACCGCAGGGAAGCACAGCCAGGGAACCGTCCTTGACTTGCGGAACGACGAACAAAGGTTCTGGTGGTTTTCCTGCGATTTCGGATGTTCAACCTCAGACCTCTACTTGGAATGATGTTTCACCCCTTGACCCATTTTTTGCGTTTCTTTGTCCTTGAAACCAACCAGAAAGGATCCAGCTGCGATGAAGAAATCAAGTTGAGCAACATGGATCGCCGCTTCAACATGAGAAACTGGAAATTCCAGCGGTGGGGGGAGAGGAATTCCAAGTTCTTTCACATGCTCCAGCAGATCGCACACCCAAAACGATATGAAAAGATATGGGGTTCTTTAGACCCTTGGTTGCGGTTCCGACGGTTCCCGGAGGAACCTCCACAAACATGTCATCTTCGTGGATGGCTAGTCTGAGAAACCACATGAATGGGAACATATTGTGACCATGGCTGCAACGTTGATCTCGTATACAGGCCCACTTGCAGTTGTGTATTCTATTTTATGTGGTGCAATTGTACAGACAAAGCCATAACGTACGCCAGCGGAGCTACTTCATGATGTGATGCACTTCTTGGAGTGGAATCCTTTAGCAGCGATGCCAGGAGCCCCCAGTAGCGTCCGATCGCTCCTAGTAGCGATGGCCAGGAGCCCCGTTCGTAGCGTCCTTGCGCCTAAATGTCTGGCAGATGCCGACGACCTTCGGCAGAACGTCCGCTCAAAAAGCCTGCGAATTCCGGACCTTCCTTGCGTTCTCCAGCGAAGGAGTTCAACTCTTTGGCTTAGCGCAGCACGCGGTTCTCAGCCAACAACAACTTCGAAGCAAAGCACGTGATGTTTGCGGCTACGCGGCTACACAAAGGTGAGATTTGCACATGAAATTTACCGGGTTTCACCTCGGTCGATCCAAGAACACGAACTCCTTGCGATCATCAAACCCAAGAACCCCAAGCTAGATGAATTGAAGAGAGGGACTTCTGTCCCTGGATTCCCAGGCCATCGCTCTTAGGAAGCACCGGCGCCCGCCCACCGGAGGTTGGAGCGAAAGCGCTTGGAACGACAGGGGTCCCAGGCCGGTGGGGTGGTCAACCCGAGGAACTGAGTGGGGTCGGCGGGAAGCCCCGACCTGAAGTACGAAGGACCCGACCCGTTCGACTATCTAAGTTGGGTACTGCAGTGGGGTCCTAGAACTAACTTAGCCTCTTTTTGACGGTCGAATTCTTTTTGGTGAAGCAGGAAGCCCAAAAAGTCCCTGGTCCACAGGCCCTTTGCACGGGGGGA